CAGGTGTCGCTTTTTCTGCATTGTGTCCTGGTCAAATAAACACCTGCACTGTTGAGACAATACGTTAGTGTATCGTTTAATACTGACAACTGCATAACATTACAGAAATGATGTTTTCTGCATGAGAATACACACTCTCAGACACCCTGTGGATATTCTAGTTTATAAACAATAACCTATATTTGCTGAATGACTGAGAATGACTCAAATTGTGTTTTTACCTGTTTGAACTTATATACTGACTTTAATTGAGTTGCCCATGATCAGCACAGAGCAGCTATTGAGCTGCCACCCACTCAAGTGCTGATGGTGTTTACAGGTCAGACAAAGACTGAAGGCTTCAAGGCACTAACACATCCTTGGTCCACAGTCTGCATCTTAGACTGGAGATAAACTCAAAGAACATGAACATGAGAGCATTTCTGTTATTTAACTATTTACAACAAAAAAGAGTCAAATATTCAACAAGATATTTATAGACTACGGTTACTAAAAATATGATATATTTACTTAAGCTCTAAATAAGCGATTGAGTAGAATCTCTAGCGCGCCCATGTCTTTATATGGTGCATTAAATGAACCAGCTATAACATTTATTTTATTATGGTATTCGTTGTATTTGGCCAAAATATAATACCACTATAAATGTAAACATAAAATTCTAACCATTTATGGGCATTACGCCTGGGCACGGAAAATGGGAAAAAAAAAAAAAATCTATCCTCATCCATCTCAGGTCAGTGAGTGCTTTGGCAAATACTGGAGGTGTAAAATGGCTGGTATGGCCATGCATCTGTCCCCAAGCTCGGTGTGCTTCCCCATATACATGTAGCGACACTACACAGCCTTGGAGTGCCTGTGTACAAATTAATAACTGTTAAATATAACACTTATTTTAGGATGAACCTTTTCCCACTGCATTTGATAAATTATCAACTTTTTTTTCCGCCTTTACGGGTTTATCTAAAGACATGTTAATCACACGAACACGGCAGCATGTCATTTGCCTCAAGATGGAGAGCTCTCCATGCCTACTGAAGGGACTTCCAAACTTAATATTAATATCCAGTGCATGTTACCAAAATAACACTGCCGCAGAGAGTTCCTGTTGAGTCTGGGGTGTAGGTTGCACAGGGTGACGAGAACAGGGTCTTTGTCTATAATTCATACAGCTAAATGGAACTGAGCAGCATGTCTGCACCAAAGCTTCTCCGGTAAGAAGTAGGTTGTGAAAAATAGCATGCTCCCCAAGTCCTGTACATCCCTCAACAAAGAGCATGAGTATTAACAAGGATCTACCTTTCTATGGCTGCAGACATTTCTGACAAAAAATATTACACTCTTATAATTATAGAGCTAACTACCACTGCTTAAATGTAACAATATTATTACTAATGCCTATAACAAATGAGAAAAAAGACATGATTTTCTGTTTTTTTTTTAATATTATGATAAAAAAAATTAATAATTGGTAGTTTAAATTGCCAATTTTGCAACAAATTACAGCACAAATTGTGAGCTAACCCCATAAATCAACTAGACAAACAAAAAAATTCAAGGTTTATTCCTGGGATCTGAAATAAAAGAGAGTCCTTATGTAGAAAAAAAATGTATAGTTGCACAAATACAATATTAGGAATGGCCAAAATGAAAGAAAAAATGTTTCTACAATAGATATTGATCAGGAATTCAGTTGGTAAAGAGGCTGAATAGTTAATTTCAGGTGTTTTACATTCAGCTACCAACAATAAACCCTGAATGCTCCCTTTGGCTCTTAACCGCAGTCAATTCCCCCTCCATAAACAATAGGGCATCTCCTATCTTTCCAGTCTTTTATTGGCCTCAAGAGAAGAATAAACTTCAAAAGTAAATATACATTTAAAAAATACGTAAAGGTGCTTTAAAAAAAAAGATAATTTTGTTGTATTTTAGTTTCTTTGAAGACATTAAAAACATAATACATCTTCGCCTGTGTCTTCATCCAGTAGGCATTTATTTTTAAACAGCCTGCAATTTGAATTTAACTGTACCTCATAGCGAAGATATTGTTTCCTCCACTCTGGGGTGATATGGGACGAAAGATGCTCCGCGAATTTCATTTTGCCGAAACAAGTGTCCCTGGAAAGCTCTGTTAAATCCGAGAGCGTCTCTCCCCTTCCCCGTCGACGCGACTTTTGTTCTGTCAGGCAACTTGCTGGCTCAACATGCGGTGCGGAAGCGCGCCTCTCTCCGCTCCTTCTCACTTCACTTTGGGCTCGTCCCACGCAGTGCGCTCCGAGCGGATCCCGTCCCGCATGCTACTTCACGGGGACCAAGGCGGTGACAGCGGCTTCTCTTTAACAGGTGGCCCGGCGGCACAATGTGAGGCTGGCTCAGTGACTTTCCTCGGTCCCTCCCTGGGACGTTCTGGGGACATTGCTGACGGCCATGCAGTGAACAGCACTGACGTGGTTGCGTCAGCAGGGCGCGCTCTGGCACCGGGCGCTGTTGGGACCTCCGGATAACTGTTGCTACTCCAGATACCTACTCCTTACTTTTAAATGTGTCCTTATAGAGGCTTTCTATACTGCAGTGTGGAGAGTTGTCTGCAATAAAAACAGAAATTATGTTACACTCTATGAATGAAGAAGAGTTCCTTTCTTCTGCAGCTAATTCCCAGATAAAACACCTGCTCAGGTTCGACACTAAACAAGTGAATTAATATAACTAATTAATTAAGCATTAGCTTAGAACATTACTGTCTAGAGAAGAATAAATTTCACTAAGCATAAAATAATGAACTTATTTGATCATATTTTTTTTTTCTTCTAAATGCTACAGCTTTAATTTCCCTCTAAATACAGGAAAGCCAAAGCATAGACTTGCAGAGTTGCATGATTTGTTTCTATAATTGACTCATAATCTCATTAATTATCATGGATAGGACTGACCAATTTTATTTGCAACAACAAATTGGATGCTTGAGTTATTGTTTTGCTTGTTTGTATCCCATTATAAAGTTCTACAAGAACAGGATAACAAGCAACCCCTACTTTTATCTTTTTAAAAACATTTCATCATGCTCCAAATCTGATTTTTGACTGATGCAATAAATAAAAAAAAAAAACGTTAATGATGGTGGAAGAAGAAAAACAAATTACCGTACCTTAAAAAGTTGGGTTATTCAGCTTTATTATGCAGTCAGATTTAAACCCTTGCTCTAGTGGAAAAAGTTCCCAGCAATGAAAAATTGTTTGAAACAAGGTGGGCTATGTCATGATTAATTCATTTGGTTTTTTTTATCACATTAAAACCTTTCAGATCAACAAATTTGATAACATTGGGTTTTATACAAAGATGACCTTCATTTTGCTGCTCTACAGCAAAATGTTCAGGTTCTGAATGTTCAGCCCCAGACCATCACAATACCACCACACTTGATTGACGGTATGAATTTCTTTTTTTAAGTAGTTTTTTTTTCCCTTTAAACTGTCCCACTGATACCATTTTGCCCAGTCTTTTTCTTATTAGTAAATGTTATACCACATTTCATTCTATAAAATCACAAAGTGACTCACAAAAGAGACAAATAATAAGTGGATTTAAAAATATATATTTTTAACTAGACTTAAGTCCAAAGGTAGAAAGTTCCAGAGTCTGGGGCCCTAAAGGTAAAGCTCCAGTGGAAAAAAGTTGTCTTTTGCCTTCATTTTATGGGAAACCTTTTCCTTTGGGAAGCTATAAACACAGATCTTTATTGAGGCAACTCAGCCCAGCCACTCTTGTGAAGATTCACCGCTATTCCATGTTTTCTCTATCTGTTGGCTCATGAAAATAATACAAGATTACTTCTCTCCCACCTGCCAGTGAGCAATGCCAGTCAACTTGTTGTAAGGAGGCTAAAGTTCTCCCTCTATTACAAGAAAGACACATTTGCTTGTTTGAAAACATTTTTGGTTACTACAAACACACACATTCATGGTGTGCAAACTAAAGGAAGCATAATTTTAGTTTTATGTTTATAGAATTGGGAAACATATAGCACGTTTCCTGATTTGAATAAAAGTAGATAGATGATGTTATAAATACATTTTTGTTTCAACATTTTTGTGGTGGTACACTGATACTGTGAAACTGGAATTTTTAATTAAGATACTGTGAGAATCTCGTGCATGCAGACATTTAAGAATTTTGTAGAATTGAAATATTCATTGTGGCTATGCAAAATAAATTTATGTGGGTAACTTAATTGTATACGTTTTGAGAGTGACCTGAGTACATTTTTAAACATTTTGACCAAAGCCTTGTTGAACCAGTGGTGGCTGTTCCAAAAATCACAAATTATCATTAAATGATTGTTCCAATAGCACCATCTCCTGGACATTTGAAGCTAAAGCTTGTCACCCCGACGATCTTTGAAAACACTAAAAAGACAAGGTGAAAAAATAAATACCTACCAAATTTTGATGAATTAATTTCTCCCATTTGCTATGACAGCTTTGATTTGAAGATGATCTCTATTGGATAACATTTACATGGAATAGAAATTAAATAATTTACTAATTACTCATTGAAAACACGGCCGTTTAATAGGAGTCTAATAGTTGCTTATTAGCTAGCTAAAATATTACAATAAAGTATAGTCCGAAGGGCGTTTTTATTGACTACGCACTGTAGTTCATAATAGATAGTAAAAATACTTTTAACCATATCTTACAAAATTGAAATAGCTGTCGCTCCAAAATAATGTACTAGTAAAGCTTTTCAGATAATTATGTTACAAGAGATCAGATTGCTAACTTTAGAGTTCGTAATGCAACATTTAGTTACATTTGTTCTTCTTTGTCTTCTTAACTTGACTTATCCGTCAAAAACAAAACATCCCACGGGACGTTTTTTTAATTATATAAATAATATTATTTTTTAGATATTTTTGTTTAATTGTTACATTCCCCTTAATGTTAATTTTCTTACCAACTGAACGTTTCAAAGTGGAACCAGAACTATTCTCAGTAGCGTTAGTGAAACACCGGCGCCGTTTGATGACAGTACCAGAGACGGACCAACGGCAGAAACAAATCCCTCTCTCGTGGAATTTTATCGTATTAAATGGTAAAATCTCGTTTAAATTGTTAATTGATTTGCAGTTTGCCACGGCCGTGCCTCTCTTGTCAACGTTTATCGCACGGGGGGAAAAAACAGTCTCGGTCGTCTGAGACGGTTCGTTGTAAACAATAACAATGGCCTCTGGTTCCCCGTCGTCCTCTCCGGACACTGCGACGGGCTCCGGTACGGACCCAGCCCGGCCCGATACGGGAGAGCCTCTTGGTGGAGCGGGCTCAGACTCTGATTCGGACTTGGGTTTGAGTAAATTTGACTGCAGCGCCGTGGGGATGGGGGACCAGCTGGAGGGAGATGAGCTGGAGCTGGAGTTTGAGTCTGCAGCCGACCGCGTGAAGGATCTGATACAGACAGCCAGCAGGGACCAGCTGCTCTACCTGTACGCCCGCTACAAACAGGTGTGTGGGTTAAACCAAACTGGATTTCAGTGGCATCGAAAGGTGTATGTTGGATGTAGGTAGTGACACCATGTGGCTTCAGGCAAAATGGCAAATGTTTGCTTCAGTGCCTTGCAACACCATTCAAATATATTTTAATTTTTTCCCTCTCTGTGAGGTTATCGGATTTGTTAATACAAATATCCCTCCTCCCCTCCCAGTTTAGCTTCAGGGTTTAGCTTCAGCAAACCTCCCATCAAGCACTAGCTTTCTGCTGAATAAAAGTCCTCCCACAGCATAATGCTGCTACTGCCATGTTTCACTGTTTGTATGGTGTGTTCAGACTGATGAGGAATGTTAGTTTTCTATTAACACACAGTGCTCTGCATAAATACCAAAAATCAAAGCCGACGACAGCAGAAGTTCCCAAAGTTAGGTTCTTGACCCCAAGTGTGGTCACAAATATGTGAGGATTTAACACAAATACCAGAAGATGACAAGAAAGCATATGCTTTTTAAAAATGTAGTTAAAGATTAAAAACTGGACTTGAAAATAAATACAAAACAATATGATGGCCATTACACGAGCTGTTGATGCTGATTTAAATAAATGTAAACCACTGATCTTTTTTCCCTTCTGCTTCACAATCAGATGCTACTTTTCTGTTGGCTTATCACACAAATCATAATAAAATACATATCCATTTGTGGTTGCAACATGGAAAATGTGTACAACCTCAATGAGAATAATTCCTTTAGCAAAATGTAGTACATATCATCAGCACTTTCCCTTTTCTTTGGAGGTTTGTAGTAAAACTTAATCCTACTTGTTTTAGCTTACCTTTGTAGTTCATCAGATATTATGCCTGCTAATTGTTTTCCTCTAACAGGTCAAAGTTGGAAAGTGCAATACATCAAAGCCTGGCTTCTTTGATTTTGAAGGACAACGGAAATGGTAAGTTAAGAACTCAGTCTGTTGCAATTCAACAAGCAACATTCAGTTTTCTGAAAAATTAAATTCATATGTAAGTTTGCATTTGTGTTAAAGACAGGAAAAATGAAGAAGAGTAATTGGCCTAATGCAAAAATGAAAAAAACAAAAAAACATTCAGTATTACAGGCTTTTGTAGATTCTGACAGCTAAAATCTTTTTCGTTAGTCATGTATGTTGTTGTAAGATTTTTTTTTTTTTTTTACTTTGAGTCTTTCTTAAAACACCCATCTAGTCCTAGATTTAGCATCTAAAATGGAGTGGTCCTGAATTGTAAGCAACACTGTATTATCGTGACAGGCAAGCCTGGAAGCAGCTTGGAGACATGCAGCCGGAACAGGCAATGCAAGAATACATTTCCCTTGTCAACGTGTTAGATCCCGAGGGCGCCACAAAGGTAAAACCACAACCACTTCTGAACATCCCGAGATGGTCATTTACAGTTTTCTGGATCTTGACATACCGTGCAATAATTAAGACTCATCAGGCTTTCTGGATACATTTGGTATTCTAAGAATAGAACCAATAATATTATGAGACATTTACATTTTCTGTCTGTGTTTAATATAACGCCTTTCTGTAAAGCCTTCCTGGTCCTTCATTACGACATTTTTAACCTTGTTATGTGCGAAGCATATTGAGTGGATGTAGTGTAGTTTCTCTGCCAGCAGATGCCACTGTCATATTGCAGTTTTTAGCTACCAAATTATTTTATACAGTACATGCAGCATAAGAAAAAAATATAAGTTGAAATACGTTTGTTTTCTTTTGGCAGTAGCTTTAAAAGAAATAAATATAAGTAAAACTGATCTTACTTTGTTTCATGATCCTCTCCTTGCTGTAGAGGATTATGAAGCTGTTTGCATGTAGAGCAGATAGATGGGAATAAAAAAACGAATGCCTCTACCATTCACCGTATGTTTTTGAAAGTCTAAAATCATTACATGTTGGTTACACTTTGAAAATTGCGAAGAACAAATAGAAAAGTGAACTTTTGGCTGTTAACACTAGGAGTAAGTATAAAGTTACAAACATTACAAGCAGTATATCTGACAAATCAGCTCAAGGTTGTTTTTCTTCCTTCTGAAAAGAAAGGAATAGCGGATTCATCTCACATGTTCTTTTTGACCTACTGTTGTGCTTAAGCTCCTTCTCTTTCTTTCTATCGTCCACTAGCGCTCTGTGTCTGTCCCCCCAAATCATCTTTCCATTTTTAACCCCAGTGGCCTTTTTCTTTATGTCCCTCACTTTTATTCATTTCTTCCTCTTTTATATCCCCTTTTTTTTAATAGTATCACTGTCCACCACAATTGAAACCATGTCACATTTCTCTTCAGCTATTCTGTGCAGGGAAAATACTTGCTGACTCGGCCCAACAGAGGAGAACCCAGCAAAAGCTCATACCACCCACGCCTTCAAAAAAAGAAAATTGAACCTGATTGCATTAGTGTTAACAAAGCGTCATGGCATGGCTGGAGCTATTCTTTTGGAGGCACAGTTAAATGGTGTAAGTAGGAGTGCATAGACAGAGGAGCAGGGGAGAGAATAATAGCCACAATTTGACCTCTGTTCCCCTTTCAATTGTTAAGCAGACACTGGCTTTATATTACATTATAAGGCAGAGAAGCAGGGCCGGTGCATCAGCGAATATTCTGAGTTTCTGAAGTGAATTAGTTTGTCCCAAAAGTGCACGCATAGTTGTTTTGCTCCCTCTCTCCCCATTCCCTGAAATCCGATTTGTGCTGCTTCTTTTGTGAGTCAAGGTTGGTTAGTGAAGAATAGTCTAGGTAATAAATTCTTTGCCCAACTGGATGTTCAATGGAATTAAATGAAAACACAGATGATTAACAAGAGTCACAAACCGAGGCGCAGTACACGTTATCATGTTTGCATTCATTTTGGCACTTATTTATCGGGAATGAGGTCAGACCGACAACACAGGGGAGTTTCTGAGTATTTACAAAATTACATACAGGATGTGGAATGCACAGACTGTTAGAGAGGGTCTACATGTGGAGGCATTCATGGTGAATAGACATGTCTGACTCTTTGTGTCGAGTCAATACAAAGCAGCAAGGCCAAAGCCTCTCCTCAGAGAGGGTGGAGACTTTGACAGGTGGTCAACACAAATGGTCGTGCTTGAGACAAGCCATCACTGCACTGTAAACTGGTTAACTGTCGCTTACATCTGTGTGTTTAAATACCAGATTTTACTGAAAACTGACTCGAAGCTGGATTCAGATTTTTCTGTGTTATTCTTACAGCAACGACGAGGAGCAGAAAGAAGAACAGGTTTTGGAGGAGCAGCGGTCAGCTCTTTATACCAGGAGGAGATGATAAGGTATTTAAATCGGAGGCAACACATACAAGTTGAGATGCACCAATTTAGCAGTGTTAAAATTCAATACACCTAAGCACTTATTGTTGTCATCACTCCTGATTATGGATGATGTTTCTAAAGAAAGAAGACTCCAACTTAGCTATTTTCGCTTTCGGTTTTTAATAATAAAGTCAGAAGAAGCGTACTTTGAAGATGCCTTCATCTTGAAAATGTGGCTCTTAAATTATTTTATTTTTGTTGGGTTCAAACTTCTATTTTTTTTAATTGTTATGTTTCAAAATGTAAAAAGTAATTTAAAAGGACGCCACATTTTCCAACCTATGATGCCATGCAGTACAGTGAATGCTGCAAGTCAAGGACTTGATGCAATCTGCTGAGATAGAAACCTTTTAATTAAATTATTAATTGAGCTCACTGTACTGTTTGATAACTAGGATCAATTGGAATGTATTTGTGATTGAATTGAAAGGATTTTTGTTAAGTGCCTTGAGACTACATTTGTTGTGGATTAGCACTGTATAAATAAAACTGACCCGAACTCAACTTATATTCATACTGCAAAAGAGAGAGAGCAAGACTTTCGGCAGATAAAAGGAAGGCTGAAGCTAACTGTTTTGAGCTTTGGAAATCTCAGAGTTAATGTACGGATATACCTATGACTAAAACAGAATTTACTCACATGTCGCCTCTGTTGATATTATATGACCCCTTCTGACTGCAAGGCAGTTCATATAGTCTCATATATTATCTTTCTTAAAGAGAGACTGCAAATTGGAAAACTGGAGATCAGAAACCAGGCTCAAAACTCTTCAGTCACACACCAGAATCTGCTTTTTAGTCTAATATTCAAAGTAAATATGTGTTCACCGCATAGAGATCTGTACTGTCTTGTGTGTAAGTATTTCATAGATCTTTGTGGAGCAGTATCTCTGTTTTAATTCTTAGGTCAACTTAGTGAGCTTGGCATTGTTAACCACTAGACTTGACGCTGTATTTGATTATATTCAACAGACGGTAACTGCAGTCGCAGGTCTGGAAATGTCACGCAGTTCTGATTTATGTTAATGAAATCCTTTCTCCATTTACTCCTGCCTGGCAGACTCACTGAAGCTTGGAAACCCCCCCATCTTCATTTCAATGCAAAAAGAGCTTTTTGGAGATGAATATGAGATGTGTGAATCCTGCAGGTTTCCTCCTAAATGGCTGTACATGATTAGTATGCATATTTTCTGTAAGAAGTGCCCGGAGTCCCCCCTCCCCCCTTTTTTTTTTTTTTTTTTCTTTTTAATTACACAATTACACAGGCAGGATTATGGAGATGCACCGAGTACAGCAGAGCGAGGTTGCTACAGACGACTTCCCAGGACGATGTTCCCCTGGTGATATCCAGTCGCAGCAAAGACTCATGGGGAACCCGTCACAAGGATGACATTAACATGACACAAACACACCTGAGTAGACAGAGTCATACACTTCATGCTGTATGTCCACGTGATTATCATCCGAAGTCATGCATAACCTCCCAGACGTGATGAACTCACTGCTCTGCTGCTCTTCAATTTCCTCTTTCTCACACATAAACAGCCTCCATATTAAACAGCTGAACACCTGTTAACCAGGCAGATTTAATTGCTCTGCTCACTCTACCTCCACTCGTGTGTTTGTGTGTGTGTGTGTGTGTGTGTGTGTGTGTGTGTGTGTGTGTGTGTGTGGAACGTTTATAGATGAAAACAGGATTGATTAGCAATCGCTGAGCTGATCGGAGGGTTCGAATGCTGCATTTGCAATTTGCCGACCACCTGCAAGATGGATTCCGATAAAAGCGAGCTCTTTGCTGGAAGCCAGACCTTTGTTATTTCAGTTCTCATTGTTTCAGGTGCTTCTATCAAAGCTCAGGTCTTACGAGGGAGCAAGACGAGAGATTGTGTGAGTGTACGTGTGCCTTTGATGGATTATGTGGCCATATTGCTGATCACTAAAACTCAGGCCAGACAGATGAGTATTTTTTTTTTTTTTTTTACCAGTGTGACCAGTTTGGCCTGATGGATGAAGGACATATCTGCCAGTACACCACACTGGACATGCACACATTTGTGAGCACATAATGTTCCCACACATGCACATCCTAGATACACAAACGGTAAAAACCTTGGCGCTGCCGTGATGACAGAGTGACCTTCCCAGCATGCTTTGCACTGCTGTGGATGTCATGTTGTTTATAAGGCCCACATTAATTACTTGTTTGAATATGGCCTGTTGCTTTGCGTCTGTGTATTTGGATTCCTTTGTACAATTGTGCTAAAAGTTGTTGTCCAAATAATTGTTCGTGTGTGTGTGCCTTCATTTGTAAAATCATTTTAATGCTTGTTTATAACCCCAAAGCTCCCTGCTGTGTGTGTGTGTGTGTGTGTGTGTGTGTGTGTGTGTGTGCGCGCGCGCGTGTGTGTGTGTGGGTTCTTCATCGTCATTCATATGTATGTGTCATGCCAGCCCTGTCTCACCATCAACTAAAGACGGATGACTCGGCCTATTGATTAGTTGCCGGGGGAGACGGATGGTGGCCACGCATCAGGCAAACATTGGGGTCATGATGGCCATCAGACAAGGAAGTGGGCGTGGTCCACCAGAGGGCTTCATGAATAAACATAGCTGCAGTAATCAGGAGTATGTAAATGAATGTGCTGATACATAACCCTCCTCTGCTAAAAGCGTGATGAGTTATTCATCATTCACCAGGAGCAGATGAAAAAGAGTGAGTGAAGACAAAAGAGAGATGATGTAACTGAGAAACTGAAAGAAAAGAAGTGAGGATTACTAAAAAAAAAAGAAGGAACAACTGAGAAAACTCTCTTTGTATCTGTTTTTTCTCATAGAAAAAGGTAACATACTTTAATTTTAAATTTCAAGTTTAATCTCCCCTCAATGTGGTGTTAAACTGATCTGAGCTACTCAACATTTTTTTTTTTTTGTTTTTCTGTACTGTCTTCTTTTACCCAAATAAGCATGAAAATTATAGTTTTTGCAAAATTCCTCAGGCTTTAAAAGCTATACTTTAGATCTTGTGTAATTTACTCAAACAAATGAGTCTGCGTGGTTGTGCATATATAGTTGTCGTAAATAAACTGCACTATGTAGTTTATGCTAACATTGGTTAATGTTAGCATTTTTAACATATTTTGATTTGACGCTATTTGACAATATTTTCACTCCATATATTTCAGTTCAAGTTGAGTAGATCATGTTTAGAAAAAAAAACTTGCAGAAAAGAGCTGTTCTGCTCTTTGAGCATCATATAACTCAATGACTATTGTTTCAGCTGCTTTCTTTTATGCTGTTTTGTTATTTTTTTTGAGCGATACCCGTCACATTTTCTACCATAAAGGAACTTCTTTATCAAAAAAAAAATCATTTAAAATCAAAATCTGCTAAGAGTATGAGTAACATTCAGGCTTAACTGTATCACCCGCCGATGGTTCAGTTGTGCTGAACATGTTTAGCCTTCATGGAGTGTAAGTGTGGCTCAAGCTAGCTGGGCTCTCAGGACTTTTCCATGCCCAAAGCAGCACAGGAAGACAACTTGAGGAACTATGGGATTTGTGTTGACTGAGTGACTCTGTAGGAGCAGTAGGAGTGTCAAATATGCAGGTTTTCTTTCAGACAATAGAGCACTAAATTCAATTAATTTGAATGGCTTGGGTGGGTAAGAGGGAGTGGAAAGCGTAAAGCTCTAAATGAGATTTTGCACCCCTCCTTTTTACCCAACATCTCTCCCACCTTCCCCACACCCCCAAAGCACTCCTTCCTGTCCCCAATGCAACAAGGTGATTAGAGACAGAGAGATATAATTAGAGGTGGGATGGTGCCGCTGTGCGTGTCTCTGTCCCTTGGGGATGTGGCATGTGTGTCTGCCGCTGTGGTATCAGATGGTTGAGTATCATATGTTGATAGTGTTAAATTTCTGATGATTCAAAACTGATGTCATTACTACTTATGTGGCATATGTCTGGATGACGTACGAACCAGGAAGGAAGTTTAAGTTCACTGACTGGCAAAGGACACATATGTTGGAGAGTATTTTGAGCAGGGAAATAACTTTGACATCGATGGTTTTCGCAAATGCATTTCTTGCAAAGCTGTAAGTAACCAAAAACAACGTATGAGGAAAAAAAATTGTATCAAAACTTGAGTTGCACAGGGATTTACCCACTAATTTACAAAGACTTAGTGACCATAAATTATTGCCCTTATTTTCCTGTTTTGCTAAAAGAAAAATGACAACATAACTGTTTTTGTTTCTGTTTTTCCTCCTATCTTGTTCTCAGGGAAGAAGACAAGAACATCTTTGATTACTGCAGAGAAAATAACATCGAGCACATCAGGAATGCCATCAGCACGCAGAAACTGGATGTCAATACCAAAGACGAAGAGGTACAGCTCCAAAAACAGCATGTAAAAGCTGACGTAGTTTCCATGTGAGAGTTGCTGTAAATAGACCTACTCCAACAAATTATTACTTATTATTAGACTGCTATTTCTACAAAGTTGTCCTGCTGAGGACTCTTTCACCAATATTTTGCATACACGGCACTGAAAAAAAAAAAATTGAGACAACCTAAAATGATCAGTTTCTCAGATTTTACTTTTTATAGGTACATGTTTGAGCAAAATGAACATTGTTCTTTTATTCTATGAACTACTGACATGTCTCCAAAATTCCAAGCAAAAGTTTAGTATTTATTTGCAGAAAAGGAGAAATGGTCAAAATAACGAAAAAGAGGCAGTGTTTCCAGATGTCAAATAATGCAAAGAAAACAAGTTCATAATCATTTAGAAACAACATTACTAATGTTTTAACTCAGGAAGAGTTCAAAAATCAAGATTTGGTGGAATAACCATGAGGTTTTCAATGGGGTTCAATGCAGTGGTCTCTTAATTTTTTCCAGAGCTGTATGTGTCCACAGTCAGTGACTTTGCTTGGACCTGCTGTAAAGATGCATATGACCTATTAATGAGTGGCAGACAATGCAGCTCCATCTTAGTTTACACATAGAGGTTTCTGTTCTCACTCAGACATAAGGACCAATAGGTAGGACTGAAATGTCTAAAACTGCAGAAACTGCCGCTGCGGTGATCAGGTGTTTCCTGGATGGATCGTGAAATCCATCCGTCTGCTTTTGATTCATTATCAGACGAGCCAACTGGCCCCCTGCCCTTTCTTCAATCACCGCCACTCTTCACAATAAACAGGCATTCATCCGCTGAGCTCACAGTCAAAGGCCAGATGGTTGAGCCATCTCTGCTGAAAACGCTTGTGTAGCCACAACTACTGTGTTCTTCTAATTTTTTGTTGTTCTGCCCACTAGACAGCAGAGGGCAGTGGTGACGTTTCAGCTCAAAATAGTGTTAAATGCAGGTTAAAAGAAAGGGGCTCTGTCTCAACACTTGTTTTATGAGTGTGGATCAGAAATATCACCTCAGTTCAGTTCTCGTGTTGAATGTTAATGTTAAAGTTTGTGATATATTTTCAGCAGGTGTAAAGAAATGGCTTAACTTTGTCTTTAATCAATTTGCTGCTGTGCGTCCTTTGTCTGTCAGTGAAGCAAAAGCAGTGGAATGATTATAAAAACAGTTAAAAATAATCCTGGTAGGCATGAAAACAGCAAAACACGTAACAAAACATTAAAAAAAGACTTTACTTTCTCAAAGTATTGTGATAACTCCATATGAAATAGAAATAGAGTTATGCGATGCTGCCCCTCCCCCACTTGTTGCTATGCACTGGCAGTCAGTTAAGTTTAAAAAAAAGAGGCTGCTATGCTTAGAAAGACGTAATCGGTCGTTTGGTAATTAAAAGGAGCATCACTAATCAAGCTTTTTAAGGTGCTGCTGATTTAGTTGACAAGCTGTTTTAAAGTAATTCCATTATATACATTTTTTTTGTTAAGATGATAACCATAAAAACATGTTATTTTTACTTCTTGTCATCAAACAAGTGCAATCTTAAACCACCCCTTGGCAAATTCACACAAGTAAAATGCCAGAGTTGTCAAAGAAAGGTTGTAACATCCACACCTTTGAAGCAAGATGTCAATGTTTCAATGACAGGAGGACTCAAAACACGTTTTCACATCTGGCTTGCACAACAGGTGTTTATAAATGTGTAATTATTTTCTTTATTATCTGCTAATTCTCTTGTGGAGATGTGTTTCTTTTTTTGGAACATGTCCCAACTCTTTGCATTAAGAAAATAAGTTTTTCTTACTTAATAAGACAGTGCTAAAAAAAGAAAAAGAAAAAAAAGCCTCCCTCCACTAATTTAGTCATGATTTAGTGCGATCTATTGTACCAGTTCAGTCTTCTACATGATTTAATTAGGGTTTTATCACTGCTGGACCTGAGAGCCATCATATTTCTGAGTTTGTATTCTCCTGTTTGAACCACGAGACTCTGATGTGCAGTGAAAATGCAGGCAACACTCTGCAGCAGAGCACCTTAAAGAGAGAGTGAGAGAAGGCAACATCGGTATTCTGACCTGACTTATAAGTAGCCATTTTAACATGCAGCCCTGGTGATCAATATGATTTAAGCAACAGAATTGGACTTGCAGAGTTTGCTTTACCTAATTGGCCTCATTGAAAAATGAGCTCTTGAAGTTTTATTAGAACAAGAATCTTAGACCCAAGGAAAGGGCTGTGGGATAGTGTATGCGTAAGAAGTGCTTGATTCTGCAGTTTGTCTTGTGGCTTTTAACCAATTCTTCTCCACACAAACCAAGATACAGCGCCTCAAAAAAGTGTTCATACCCCTCATATTTTCTTCACATTTTACCACAAACATTTCTATCTTTCATTGACATTTTATGTGATGAGTCCACACAAAGTAGTGCATGAATCTGAAGAAGAAAAGCATTGGTTTAAAAAAAACAAACAAAAAAACATCCTAATACAATTCTGTAAAGTGTAACATGCACATGTATTCAGCTCCTTTTAGTCATTTATTCTTAATAAAAATTAGGTTCAATTAACCGTCTTCAAACTTTTGTAATTAGTAAATGGAGTCCACAGGTTTGTAAATGAATCTCAGTCAAAGCTGTGCTAGACAGCTGTTCAGTGAAGTGCTCAGAGGCTCGTTAGAGAACATTAGTGAACAAACGGCTTAATCCTGAACCAAAAAACACCTCCGACAGGTTAGGGACCCGGTTGTGGGCAAAGAGAAGCAGCCACAAGGCCCCCCCGTCACTTTGAGAGAACGGCACAGCCCTACAGCTCATGTGGAAGAATACGCTAATAGAACAACTATTAATTGTGCACTCCACAAACCTTGCCTTTATTTAAGAGTGGCGCAGAAACAAACTGTGTTTAAAAGGAACCTTTAAGAAAAAAAGGCCGTCTGTAAGTTTCATCTCATCTCAGAGATGAGATGAAACTTTTTGACCTGCATTCAACTAAGAAGAAGATTAAGACTAATAAGCTGCACATACAGCCCCCATGGTAAAAAAAATAAAATGGTGGCAGCATCATGCGGCGGTTATTTTTTAATTAGCAGGGACAGACAAGCTGGTTTGAGTTGACGGGAAGAAGGCTGGAGCTAAATGCTGAGCAACGGTGAAAGAAAATATGTCAGAGGCTGTGAAAGACTTGAAATGTTCCACCTTCCAGCAGGACGACAAACCCAAACATACATCCAGAGGAATTGTTAGATCAAAGTTTTTAAATGTAATTAGAATGGCTCAGCAAAAGTCCAAACCTAAATTTTGACACTGGTGTTCAGAAACTTTCCCTTCAATTTGAGGTAATGTGCAAAGAAGAATGGACAAACATTTCAGTCTCTAGATGTCCATAACTGGAGGACGATTGGCACAAAGGACTCACAGATGTAATTGCAATAAAAAAGTGATTCCACCAAGTATTGATTCATGAGCTGTGGATATAAGTGCAGGCTATGCTTGTGAAATTACTATTTGTAAAAAAAACACTTGAATATCAGTCATCATTATTCCGCTTCACAATTATGCAGCTCTTCAAGTTTGTGTGATTTGTGCGCTTGTGTTGGCAGGGTCGGGCTCTCCTGCACTGGGCCTGTGACAGAGGGCACAAGGAGCTGGTGTCTGTCTTACTGCAGCACAAAGCCGACATCAACAGTCAGGTAATCCAGAAATCCTCTCTCTATATTTATAGGGTTTTTCAACATCTACATAGTAGATAGACAAAAACCAAACAAACAAACAAAAGAACATTTAGCCCATAAGCACACTCAAGAGTCCTAGTCAGGTGTTACGAATGTAGCTCTTAGTGCTGAACCATGCACTGTATTTATTTATTTTATAATACAAAAGAACATATAAAAAAAAATTGTGACATAGCTGAGCATAACCTTCTGCCATTGTATCCTGGACGAAATATTTTTCAAAAATCCAGCTAAAGAGGCATTTTCTCAAACGGAAAGTTAGCATTCTGTAGCGCTTTCTTTTATATTTATCAGCAGTAGTTGGGTAAGTTATTCTAATAGTTAATAGAAGATTATTGTTTTAGTTAACAGAATTTTGTTCATTTCCTCACCAATGATCTGTCAAAATTGTTTCACTTTAGTACAACACCAGAAGCAATGTGCAAGGGTAAGCTGAGTTGCTTCGACTCTGTTGCAAACACTTAAAGATTTTACATTTCTCCAGGCATCATTCCATTCACCATCTGTAATTTTAGTTAACTTCCCTTTTCCCACACTCCCTTCAAGTGAGTAGTTTTCCCTGCATTGAGACATTTAAGAGCACTGTAAAATATGCTAGTAGAAGTAGGTGACGCTGTAAAAATAAATTGTCTTACTGTATCTAATGTGCCCTGAAAAATCAACAGTGTAGTATTTTTCATAAGTCCTAATGTGTAACTACCAGAAAAAGTCCTTTTTGAAACATTATTTTTTTTAAATCAGTTAATTAAATGACAACCGGTTAGATTCTTTCATTAAGTTATTCAGTTTGGATCTTTCTTTGTCACTGGAATTTAGAAAGTTGTCCATTATTCCAGGTAAGAACAAAAAAGCTGAATTTCTGCAAATTGGGGTAAAACAGGTTATTTGCAGACAGAATTAAGGGTTTTGCTTTCTTTAGAAAAAGTAGAGATCCTAATTTGCAGTCGAACATAGAGCGGTCTACGTCAATCCAGAGTGAAGTAAACTTATTATGCACTCAATCAGCAATGACGCTTAAGTGGCCACTGAGTTGGTATTTTCAGATATCTGGGAGGTAAAGATCCCCTTTACAGAAGAGCAACACAATGTGGACATTTTTTTTCTGTTCTTTTTCTAAGGATCTTGTTAAATCTAAAGCTTTTTGGAGCAGATCTGCTTTTCCAAACTGTTTAGTTACTTCAGTTTAATTTAATGAAGCTATTTCTTATGTATTTGGAGGACATTTTTCCAAATGCCAGGGAAGATGGGAAAGTTGTGAGAGACTTTTTTTTATGGAGCAGAGCTTTTTTTTTTTTTTTTTTTTGCATCTGCTCAGGTAAAGCATGAGCAACCTGTGAAATCCCCAGCACCCCCCATCAGCCGTCCCTTTTGTCTCTCCATCCCTTTCAGAAGGTCACCTTTAATTCACTTTGTTCCACACATAAATCCCTCAGGGCTTTAGCAGACACTGTTAGCTGGTAGCTAGCCTGGTGTTTAGACTCTCAGAGGTTTAGCAGCATCCAGTGGGCTTTAGCTTAGGCAGTAAGCTGGCTCAGCTGCACATCCGAGAAATTACTCCTCTTCCCCCTGCCCACCGCCGTGGCACGGGGCGGCTCACCGGGCTGCTCGCTGAGGTTTTAACTGCGAGGACAAATCAATTGGAAGTAATCAGGCAAATTGTTTTTACGTTGCACAACCCACATAATCAGGACATTTCACAAATGACTTTCTCTTTTGTGGTCATGTGTGGCCCCTTTTGTTTGTGAATGCTCCCAGAGAGGGGGGTGGACGTAAGAGTGGAATAAGTACAAAACAATTCACTCGTGATTTACAGCCTCACCAAGATGGTTCAAGCACGGCTGGACCCGTGTGAAAATAGAGGCTTTTTTCTTTTACTTTTCTCTTTTCAAAACGTAACCCATTCACAGTAATTTATTTCTGATTAATGTGAACATTGGCTGATATTAGAGTCTCACATTATGGCAACTTTGAGCGAAAATATGACAATATCAAAATACTTTCACGAAAAAGTTAAAACAGAAAATGTTGCACATTTTAGAATCATTTTTCTGCCTTTGCTATTACGGTATGGCATTAATTATTACTGTGATAATAATATTTGTGATTTATCTGTAATTATTTTTTATTGGAGAAGCTCCTGCTGATTTAGCTGTAGGCTTCAAGTGCTGGTTCCACCTATTTTTGCATTTTTTATTTTTTTTTACCCTTATAAAAGTAAGACTTAGAATGAAAATTAGGACCTATGCAATGTGTCACAGAGCATGTTGAGCGCGTCAACCTTCCTTCTTCTGATTCAAGTCGACTCAGCAATCCCAGAGTCGGATCCAAACTTGATGAAACAGCATCCAGCTTTTCTTCTCCACTAATCTGGAACAAACTTTGGAAGACTGAGTTCTTGTATCGTTTAAAAGTCCATTTGTTTAAAGCTGCCTTTGATTAACAACTGGACCATCATAAATTGTAGTTTGTTTTTCAACCTGTCATTGCTTTCCTCTGTTTTACCACTGCGATGTCATGTTTTGCTTATTTGTTGTTTTATCAACTTTTTAATTATGTAAAGCACTTTAAATTGCTTTGTCACTGAAATGTGCTAAAAACAATAAAGTTGCCTCTCCTTGCCTACTTAGTCAGGAAATTTGCTCAGGCTGGCCTGCAGTGAACTGCTTGACACCACATTTTAATTTATTGATCCTATTAACAATTTTTCGTCCATTCATGGAAAACTTCAGGACTTTTTTTTTTTTTTAAGAAGTGAGATTTCATAGGAAATCAAAGCACTGATCTGTTCATAAATTCAGCTCATTGGGAACTTTCCACCTGCCGCTCTCTCAGGTGTCTGAGGAACTGTTCAGTGGAGGAGACTGAATATGTAAAAAACTGGTAATTTCCACTGGAGTCACTAGGGACAGATTTATGTGGTGGCAGAGAGCAAAGTACAATCAGCTAAATCATATCACTCTGTCAAGATGCCAATTATCTCACTATGTATAGCTTACTAAACAGTACACTTCTCAATTAGAATGTGTTTGAACATCCTTTACTTTGAGAGGAGCCAAAATAAACCAAAGGAGATGGGGAAGATTAAAAAAAAAATGTAATAAAGACTTTTATAAATGTGTCCTTTCCCCCAAAGCCTCTGACATGAAACAAAGACGCTTTACTGTTGTACATGTCCATGAGAGAAACGGAGGAATGTTTGGCTTGTTTTCGGGCTATTAAAGCATCCAGTAATCTCCCTTGACCTCTACCAACTGCTGAGCAACCAGTAAATAAAGATCAAACATGATTTATGCTTAATTTGTTGATTAAAACAGGGAGGGGGGCTTAAGAGTTAAAACAAAAAGTATTATTATTTGCTTGGCAGAGGAGGAAAATCGTTGGAAAGTAATCAACTGATTGTTTTAGGGAATTGTTCCCAAACCCTGGTAACCTGCATTAAGAGCTCGTTTGATAGTTAATCCAGGATCAAGGGACCACAATAGGTAGCTGCGTGAGTTTGAATACGCAGATCACAGATCTGCCACCTGCCAGCTGTAGAGCCGGCTCTGGTGTTTGTACGGTACATTAAACCTCGCCGTGTTCCTGCAGCTAATACTCCCTGAAAAAGTGGGGCAGGCTTCACCAACTGTGGGGGACAGAGGCAGTAAAACCTTAATTCACAAAACGCTGTAAACTGAAGTTTGAATAATTGACCTGTTGTTCAGGCCAGAGTACGTAATAATGAATGGTAGAGTGTAAATATCCAACATGCTTTCATTCTAAAGCAACTGGGAAAACCTGATCCACACAGGAAAACGGTCGTAAATGATTAAGATTTTATAAGTTTGGTGTCGGTATGGTTATTTATTTTCAAACCATCCAGCTGCAGTTTTTTTTTTTTTTTTTTTTTTTTTTTTTTTTTTTTTTTGGTTTTTTTAAAAATTTTTTTAAAAAAAAAAAAAATTTAAAAACCCCCCCCCCGGGTAT